CGCTGATTGGTCGATTCAGGGAGCAACAGGAAGTGACCTCATCCCACATCGAGAGGGAGGGAGAGAGAGAGAGAGAGAGAGAGAGAGAGAGAGGGGAGGCTATGGGGTGCGTTGACTTCCTCCCCTGGCTCTCACTAAGCTGGACCAAGCTGCCAGGCTGGTTAAAAGTACGGAGCAGGACCACTTTACAGAGCAGTGTTCAAACATGACATACTTCCTCCCATGTGTTTGGGAACCAGGCACGTTGCCTTTTTACACCTTCTGCACGCTCATGTATTTATATATGTTTAGATCAGCAGCCACCTTATTAAAAGCGCAACGTGACAAAAAGTAAACGTGCTAATGTTGTATCACCTGTGTGGGTATTTGAATAAAAACAGATTGTAACTGTCTGGCTTACGGGATTCAAAAACATTTACTGTACACTAACTGGAATATTTTATAATGTGTTACGTGATTTAAAGAGCAACATTTAGGCCAGTGATTCTTCTCCCAAGACCTTTGCTTATTTAATTTTTTATTTTATTGTTTTGTTTTACTACTTTGATGTGTACAGAAATTATATATGCACAGATACACTTCCAGTCCAAAATGTCAACACACTATATCATTCAATATTATAATATTTTCTTCCCTTATTTTTACCACTTTCTGTATTTTGTATACATACAGAAGACATCAAATATATGAAGTAAGATATATGGAATTATGTAGCAAAAGGAAAAAGTTAAATAGCTCTACTTTTTAAAATTTATGTTCAAATCCTCAAAGTAGCCTTTCTTTTTTTTTTTTTTTTTTTTTGTCTTGTTTGTCGAAAAATGTTTTGGGATAAAAAAATAATAATAATAAATATATACTACATAATTCCATATATGTTCCTTCATATATTTGATGTGTTCTGTATATAAAATGTAGACATAACTAACATGAGTAAAACTTGAAATGAGAATGAGATGAAGTCTCCAAACATTTGTCTGGTAGTGTACATTATGGCAATTTTACTATCTAATCCATACATTGTTTGAAGTAATATATTGATAATATTCATTTTTATGATTTACCAACACAAAAATAGCATAACACTAAAATAAAACTGTGAGGACAGTGTTCATCTATATAATTTTTACACGTTTAAAGTTGAAAATGACATTCTCCAATAATCTAAAATAATAAAGTAGATTTTTAAAAACAATATATTTTACTATTTCATTATATCTACCATATAAAAATAGCAGTAAACCACTTATCTCCCGTAACACAGCAGTAGTCTCCTATTTTCAGAAACAATTTTTATTTGCCAAAACTAAATTAGGCCAAATGCAGTTGTCAGAATGAAGTACAAAATGCATTAATCACAATTAGTCTGCTACTCTAAATACAGAACACAGCTTTTATTTGCTAAAACTATATCTATTTGAGTCCCATTTTTTCTTTGTTTTATTACCCCTGCACCTGCTTACATGCACAAACACACATGCTACGCTATATGCTAGTGCGAGGTCAGGAGCCAGGTGCACTGTGATCTGCATAATGTAGTTCACTATAGTTCTCCACTGGGACCGTCCTGTGCAGAGGGTCAAACGCAGGGGTGGATGCACATTATGGGACGGGAGCAGACGCTAACCCAAGCGAAGATCAAACAACACAGTGGCCGTTAGCACACAAGCGCACATGTAAGCTAACTCGTCTGCCAAATGCATGGTCGCACATGGAAGCGCCAACTGCTTTCAAATGGTAAATGTTTGATCACGGTTGTGGTGCGATTGTCTAGGGGGAAGATGGTTTGGTAAAAGTTGAGTGGCCTAGTTAGGTGCAAAGCAAAACAAAAGATAAATAATATTGTTATAGTTATAGCATTTTGTGGAGTGGTGATGTCAAATTTCATACTTTTTGTTGTGTTATTCTGAGGTTTGGGTGGCTTTTGTCTTCTCCCATTTTAAATATAGTATATTTTCATGTTTTGTTGGTTTTTAGTACCTTTTTTCTTGTCAGCTCTTGGAGTCAAATGAGACCAGTACTATGCATCTAATTCTAAAGCTTTTTATCATCCGCAAACCAGGAAGTAAGGCTGGTGTGCTTTTAGCATGCTAGTAATTATCATAAAGTGACAGCAAATCTCCTCTCTGGCCAATGAAAGTTGTAAAACTTGCTTAGAAGTGCATCACTTTTAGTAATTATGATATAGGAATGAGTTCAAAGAGTGGGCAATAAAGTTTGGACTGCTACAAATAGTCCAGTTTTATGTTTGAAGAGTAAATATCACGTTTAGTTTTAAGTGTTCTCCACCACATTGTTGAGGGACAATGTCAAAAGGCAGAAGGATAAATTCAATTTATCAACTGGACAAAAGTTTATATGGTCAAGTATGTTTCGCAACTCATCCAAGGTGCTTCTTCAGTTGGATGAGCTGCGAAACATATTTGACCAAATGAACTTTTGTCCAGTTGACAAATTGAATTTCTCCTTCTGCCATGGACTCTACCAGGACGACTGAGGAATTTTTCATGACAATGTCAAAAGTTACAACGATGCTTGTTTCATTAACCAAAAAACATGCACCTAACCTTCCATGTGTGTAGTACCGTTGACCTTCTTATTAGATCTATTTTTTTTATTTTGTACAATATATTTTTTCATTTACACAAATCTAAAAAAAACTGACAAAACACAAAACACAGAATGCAAAACATACTTGAGTTCAATTCATAAGTGCTTGAGAGCATCATATTATTCACACATCTGAGTCGGGTTGGCAGTAAGTGCTAAACAAGTCTACATGATTCTCTCCTGTGCGTATGTTATTGAGTGGAAATGTCAAATAGCATCTGGTAAGTGAATGTATTGCATGTTTCTTTTGGCTGTGGCCCCCTCCCACACTTTCCTGTCTGTTTAAAGCCACTCTGCTGCAGTATGGCTCTGTTTCTGCTTAAGTGATCGCGCAGGCTTACAGAGGTTATTGTATAATTCTACTGCAATTATCAATGTAATGTATTCTCAGTAGACCGTATACCACACACAAGAGTTTACATTTGATGACCAATAGTATTAAAGACTAAAACGGCTTTAGTTTATGAATTATAGCTCCTATTGACTTCCTAGAACAAAGGTTAACCAATGAATTTTGTATTGCTGATAAAAACTTATTATGCTGTTGTGAAATTTCTGTATTACCATTCACTGTTATCGTAAAATAATAAGTGAAGTTCATTAGGGGAGACACATGGCTAGCCTCTTCATCTTTTAACCAAACCTTAGGGCCCAGATGTAAGCCATGGCAAACAGTCTATCTACTTGTTTTGTTGCCACATTGGTAATAACAAAACATCTTTTTAGAGGTGTTTCTTTAATATGAACTTGGTTCCATACTTACTGATATATCAAGACCATTGTAAAACTATTCAGTAAAAGTATTAATACAGGCTAAACTCAGTATCTAGTTTTGATAATTATTGTAGTATTTAGAATATGGGTATCAATCATATTCCAATGATTATATTTTGTGGCGATTTCTTTTTATCAACGCTATTTCACAATGGCTATACCAAATTTGTTCCACTGTTCAATAACTTATGTTTGTGGAAGCTCTATATAGCATCACACTGCCTATAAAATGTTTCATTGACTAGTCTTGCAATTAGAGACCCCATTAAACCCAAGTTAACCATAGTGGTTTCTGCACTTTTAGTTTGCCATCAGCATAGATCCCCCCCGATTACCCCCTCCTCTTTCTCCCTCTGCTCCAGGCTTTAGCGGGCCTTAGCCACTCAGCTCCTCTGTGCATTGGTATATTCCAGTACCAAGAGCCACTGCCACAGGACTCCTCCACAGACCCAGACACAGGGCTCAGATATGTCTCCAGTGGGTCTGCCCTGCCCTCTTACGGCCCAGTAATGGTCCGCCCGGTAGCAGTTTGATGGAGCAGTAGTCGAGCCCCGGTGGCGTACGCTATGGGCCTTTATTGATGCTCTGGAAGTCTGACTCAGCACTTGACTTGGAGAGGTCTACACAGGGAAACACATTTGTATGAGCTATCAGTGGATGGAGTGTGGGGACATAAAATTGTTCCGTTTACTCATTGTTGAATATGCCTGAAGTGTAGCAGCTCATTTTCTATATTGGAAGCAGTTAGCATTCGCCACCCGAAGTGTATTAACTTGTATTTCATAACAAATAAATTCTCTTTCTTCTTGTGGGTACTCTACTTGCTTGTCTCCATAAATATGTTATTTCTGTACCTATAATGTTTCTCAATATGGCATTATACAAATATATATCTTGCTATCTTGCTTCCTTAATGTGTGTTTTTATTGCTCACATATTACCTTGACAAACCTATTTTCTTACTGTGAGCGGGGTGCCCTCTCCACAGATTTGCCCTTCTAACTTGGGCTGGTGCATCACCTAATTGTCTCCATGGAGATTGATATCATACTGTGGAACATTCCTGGCAAAGCAGTATTATCTCTATGGAGATAATAAATAAAAGAGGCCACTCCACTCAAAAAGTTACACAGTGCACACACATATTTATTTTTGCTGTATGTATATAAAAAAAATGTGTTTATTTCATTCAGTATCAATATTTATTCATTTCAAGTAAGTCTTTCAATAAACCCCACAAAATTAGCAATTACTATGCTCCTACATTAAACAAATAGTCAATAATTATAAGCATGGCCTCTTTGTTTTCCTGTGGAAGTGTCAACAGGAGATGGATTGTTCTTCAGATAACCATGACTGTAACCGAAGACCGAAGTTGCTTTATTAACAATGTGAAACCGCTCTATTTGACTGCGCTTAATTAACTCCACTCTTAAATAAATCTCGGTGCCGGTTAATTAAATAGCTGGCATTCGCCGTGTTACAAGTGCACAACCCCATCCGAGTGATTAGTTTCCTTACCAAATCATGTTATCTACTTTGTCTTCGTCATAAAAATAATTTCTGTTCATGATGCATCGGTCTTACGTGCTGTTTTGTATGTGTGTTTGTCTGTGCAGAGGAGGGCCTGAATCATGAGTGTAAACTGTGCAGCCAGTCGTTTGATTCTCCGGCCAAGCTCCAGTGCCACCTGATCGAGCACAGCTTTGAGGGCATGGGCGGGACCTTCAAGTGCCCGGTCTGCTTCACAGGTATGATTTATTCCATATACATTTTAAGTGAGTGTAGCGGGTGTTTATATTTTGCTATTATTGCTTAGTTTGGTGGAGTAGTACCTATAGGCCTGTCATGATAATAACTATTTCAACGTATTGTTCAATAAATCATACTCTGAACAATACTTCATTTTGGGGTTAAATATATATTTTTGTTTGTGTTAGTGTGGAACTTTTTGTTATGTTTGTGTACTACAGTAAGTTTTAAAATGACACTCATGTTCATCATTTTATACTTAGTGTGTATGTAGTCCTTTGAGTTGGTTTACCGCCACCTAGGCACTAAGACCTGTCTCGCAGTGGTTAATGTCTCGAAATGTCCTGAGAGATTTTTGTTTCATTATTCCCGTCATTTGAAATATGTAATTTTTTTTTACAAATAGCATTTCTTCCTATAACATGGGCAACCATTACAAATATTTTTACCATATTGAGATTCAGAAACTCTACTAAGTGACCATGGTAGTATCCTTTCCTGTAAAGATTGACTATGAAGTACTATTCCAATAGTGTATAATCTATACATTTGGGAACGAAAAATTAGGATTGGTGTTGTGTAATCCCTCAGTCGTCTAGTTAAAATCCAACAAAAGTTTTTTAGAATGAATATGTTTCACCACATTGAATTAGGTGTATGTTTGGGTGCTCAAAAATCTCCAAGCATAAGGGCTAAATTAACACAGAAATTATTCAGGGTCCATACATCTCCAAAACTACCTCTTTCATCACTAAAACTTTTATCAGGGAGATAATGTCGGAGGAGAGTCCTGTATATACGTGATGTAAAGTAACGCTTTAAGCCGCACTTTCACTGTAGTTTTCCGATAGCTTCTAAATGAGTTGGGAGAGGTCAGGCCGGAACCACCATCGGAGCCGTTTGGTGCATGCGGCTTCTTATTTAGTCAAATTGCCTCCGAATCAAAGCCGTGGAAGTGTCGCGGGGTGACTGGAGAGGGGTGCAGGGGGGGGCCACTGTGTGATCTGATGGGAGAGAGGGGGGCATGCGGAGGAGGAGGGGTAGGGTTGGGGGGGTAAGGAAAAGGAGACGTGCTAATTGTGTACGGCAGTGGTGCTGATAGCTGTAATGATCTCATCTGTCTGTGTGCGTGGAGGTGGAAGGACCGGACTCCTCCTGAGAGAATAGCGCCCTCCTTCAGTGTCAACAGGGTTAACTATCTCTATAATGAAATCTGCAAAGTCGTTAACTTGGGCTCTTCACTATTTCTCCCCTCTCAGCTCTTTAGTCTTCCTCACACTTTCTTAGGGCGGTTCTGATTTGACTTCGATGGCACCCATGTAAAGTAAATACAAATAAAATACATTCACAGTAGCCATGTTTTGATTGGTTCACTTGGAGTGGATTCGTGCAGTTCGAAAGAAAGTGTTTCCATTGTCTTAAATGAACCGTGACAGCCGGTTTGAGGGGTGCAAAGAGGACCCTGGGGAATGCTAGCGTCCAGCGTGACCTGGCTTGCTCTAGATCCTGCATCAATGATGAGAAAGAACGCAAAGTCAAGCTACAATAAGACGACAAAAAGGAAATATAAACAGAAAATAATAACTTCTGATATATAATAATAACTTGTGATAAAACGTTGTATTTCGAGTGATGGTAACTTGTATGTTGAGCCATCCTGCTTAACAAAACAAAGCTAGTGAATGTTGGCAACAGCTGTTAACCATTTTTAACTGCATGTCAAGAGCAAAAACATACTTTCAGTGCATAATACATTTAAAGGTCCTATATTACACAAAACTGTCTCTTGTGAGCTCTTAGCCATGCCTCATCAAAAACACCTGGAGTTGTGTTTTGTTTCATTCACACATGTTTGATTAATCCTGCATTATTAATATGTCTGCAACTCCAAAGCTTAAAATGCTCTGTTCCACCTTGTGATGTCATGAAGAGGTAATTTTCAGCAGCTACCTTTTACCTTTTGTTCAGAAGAGATTGGCAGTTCCAGGGCTGAATGATTCTAGCGAAGATGTATGAGTTTAAAAACACAGAAAAGCACTTCCTCTATTACAACATGGCGTCATAAGTTGGAACATTGTTTTCAGTTTGAGAGAAGAACTTGACCTAAATATGCAATATAATATTTTTGTGTTAAACGTGTGAATGAAACAAAACATATCTCCAGGTATGTTTGAGATGAGCAAACAACATTATAACAGAAAACAGCATTATATGGGGCCTTTAATAGTGGCCTAAACAAATGCTTTACATAAAGACATGTTAAAATCCTAATGCAGATACAAGTTTGATTCAACTTCACTCTTCAATTTTGTCAGCAAAGGCCGGATTTGCCCACTTTATATTTTATGTAGAGAAATCTTGTCTCAGCTAAGACCTAGTGGAATATCCCATACACTTACAATACTTATTTTAATGAATTTACTTCAACACATTGATCATTGAAGACACACTTTTGCTTTATCTTCCATAAAAACTATGATACAAAATTTACAGTAAAACACATAAAAACAACACTCCACACCATCGCCGACTTAGCCACCTGCGATTCAACCGTGAAGCCGAAGCAATTGGTCCATCATATTACATTCAGATGTGTCCTCACTCCTCTCCCCCAGAATCTTATTGATATCTCCCCAGCCCGCTCCATCCTCCCGAGCCACCATCAGGGGAGAGGGGGGCACTTTAATATACAGAGCATGTCTTATTCGTCCCAGCCTTCATTTTCCAACAGCGGGCTTTGACAGACAGGCCCCCTCGCTCCCTCCGCGCCCATATCGATCACGGCGCGGGAGAGAGCAATGCATTCTGGGAGGAGAGGAGAAAGGAAAGTGGGAGGAGTCAGACAGAGTGCACCCTTCAGGACAGCGGTCTCGGGGTAGGCGGGCACGACAGATGGGTCCCTCTGTCGGACAGTGAGGGGACAGAGAGTGTGTTAGAATCTACGCTGGGATGAGAAATGGGTAGTGATTGTCCTTTGATACATTTTGTAAGAAACATCCTTGCGTTCTAATGAGTGTTAACACTGTAGAATGCAATGCAGTGTCTCTCTTAGATGGAAGCAAGAGCCAGTATACAAAGCAGTTCTGTGGTTATTAAGTTACATAACTTACATTTGAATCATTTTTTTTTTTCTCTATGGAGATGTTATTGCTTTGCTTGGAATGCTCCACTGTAAGGCATTAAACATTAAACTCAATACAAACATTAAAGTGTTTTGTATTGATTAAAACAACACATTGAAAACATATATTCTTACTCACTCCACAGATCTGACGTGTAACTTGGCCTAGTGGCTTCAACTGCTTGTCTTTATGGAGAGACATTTAATGCCATAGTGTGAAACATTCCAACCAAAGCAACAACATCTCCATGGAAACAAGCAGGTGGTACTCTCTCCACCATAAACGTTACATAGCAAACCTTTAGGGAAATAATAGCTATTTTCTGTCTGCACTGGTATCGATTTATATAAAGCCAAAGTATCAATATTAGTATTAGAACTGAAAACATGTAAAAGTATATAGGAGTTTATTGTGGCATGAGCTAAAACAAAAATACCAGTAATGATGATTTAAGTCTGTAGCTGAACCAGAACCACGAAACAGTATTCTAAACCTACAAAACCTACAAACAAGCCCAGGAGAAGCAGAAATCGGTTATTCTGCACACACTGAAAACATATATATTTATGGTAGATTTGGGCTAGTCTTTCTTCATTGTAGCTATCTATTTTTGATTTACAATTCTTAGTCCACACCCACCCATCTCACTCCACATCTTTGGGAATTCCAACAAGTAGAAGAGACCTACCCGCGAAAAGACCCCTACACTCGCCATAACCTATACCCAACAAAATAGAGGAGATATGGAGGAGACAAAACTTGAGGAAGGAAGGTTGCAAGTTTGGATGTGAGATAAAAGGCGCAGAAGAAGAGGAGGAGGAGGCGGTCGGGGAGAGCGAGGGTAAATGGAGAGAGAGGTCCATAAGCCCCTGGATGATGAGAGAAGGCTGACTCTCCCAGGACAGATTTGACAGCTTTCAGAAGTGGGGGAGCCTGCAGCTAGAAGTGTCTGGCTGCACCCTCAGGAGCGCTGGTTTGCTGCCGAGGAGGAGGCATGGCGGGGCGGAAATTCTGATTGGGAATATGTGCTTAAGACAAACAAAACAGAAGAGAAAGCACAAGAAGGCATGATGAAAGATGAGAGTGTGTGGATCTAGGTTTGGTTGCTTATGTCACAGCAAGAGCCAACTCGAAAATCTACTGGAGGTCGCGTGTTCCAACATGAACTGTCAAATGCACTGGTTTAATTAGTTTGTTTTTGCTTTGGTGGAATTGTGAAATCTTGCTTTCAAAATATTCCTAAGTTGTAACACGATCAGACTCGTGAGTTCATCTAGCATCTGTAAATAGGAGCATGCTAAATATTCATTGCAATGAGTTTACAAGTGCTTCTCACAACTTTCAGCTAGCATCGTAACCATATACTTCCTGTTATCAGACAATAAAAGGGTATTGTATATTTAGATTCGCAGTTCACGACCTCAGGAGCAGCTTATACAATATAGCTATACAGGGGCAATGCAGATTTTGCTCAAATGTATGGTACTAAGCAACTCATCTTTGCACTTTTTACTACAAGTGAAGTTATGTTAAATTAAACACTTAGTAACGAGAACTAGCTGTCCCAAATAAATTTTTGTACTTCTGATTATGAACTTTGTTACGTTGTCTTAAGGCAGAGTTACCAGGGATCAGGCATGTCCCTTTCTGCCAAATCATCACCATGTTCAAGTTTATATTATAAAGCAAATGGAGACAAACAACCTCAGATTTTTTTAATGATTAAAGTATACTTTTTGAGATTCAGCGCATTATCTTTGTACTGTAAGTGAAGTTGCTGTGTGGTATTATCCCGTTTTTAGCGTAAGGTTAAGTTTACAATGTACAATGAAATTATGGCCTCTTATTACCCACAACTTCTGAGCAGAAAATTCTGG